GTTTTCCACCCTGTTTGTAACAAAACAATTAAAATCTTCTTAGAAACATCTTAATATTTTTGTTGTTTCTTCTTTGTTTTTTGATTTTTGGTTTCCCATTCGTAATTTGGTAAGAAGTTAACATCAATGTACAAGTCCAAAGAGTAAAGGTTTCAAATAATTACCACTTCTTAAGAGAGATGTGAAGCCCTTCCAAGTCAATGCGGACCGAATAACTGCGGGCCAAAACGGTGCAACATTCTGAGACCAGTCTGCTGTCTTTATATCCTATTACATTTGCGAGTAGGGAGTGAGTTTGACATTTCTTTTTCGATTATTAGGCCCACATACATACTTCCAAGTCAATCAAATCTTAGAAATTAAAATTTTGAACGTATTGTCTATACAATTAGGTCCTAAACTCGAAAAAACTTTGGATGAAATTATAACATGAGACAAACTCTACAAACGAAACTTGTCAGATCTTAATACAATAGATAAGCAGCTACCGTAAAGTTCGAATCCATTTCTCCCAAAGTCTCTCTACTTCCTTAACATGCCTCCTCAACATCAATAAATAGGCACAATGTTCAAAGTATGACGAGTACTAATACCTGGAGGCCGTGGGACTCAAGTAACTTGACGTAATCGGCAGCGGAGCACCAAGCAGGGAGATAGAAGCCATCACAAATCTTCTGGAGGAGATTGAGCTCCCATGGCTGCAGGGCCTGTTCAGAGGGGCCAAGGTCTCTATGGCACCATGTGACTATTATTATGGTGCCTCCTGGGGCTGCAACTCTCACAAGTTCAGTAATGAACTGCAGAGTTTAAAAGAGGCATATCAACAAAACAACTGACTTTTCAGTGAATAGTGAAATGGAATTAATTGAAGAGAGAGAGAAGAGAATGAAAAAAAAATACCTTGGATTTGTCAGGCATGTGCTCCCCACTTTCCATTGACCATACAAGATCAAATTCCCCATCGGAGAATGGTTGGTTCAGGGCATCTGCCACTTCAAACGACACCTACCACTCACCAAAACAATCCGATTTTTTACAAACTTCCCAATTTTTCTCTCTTTCTTCTTTTAAAATTTTAGATACCAAAAGTATTTGACCTCAAAATCTCCATGTTTGGATAAGATTTTAGTCCTTCAACCCCCTTTTTTTAATCACTTACACAACAGGATAATTTATTTAATTGACAAAATTTTAGATGAAAAATTAGGCATCAAATTAAAGAAAAACTGGGGGAGGAATTAGATACTTTTTTTTTTTAATTACAGCTATCTTTACTCTTTAAGTAGCCTAATTCCTCTTAGACTATTATGTCAACCAATTAAAATTCACAAGGATATAATTAAAAAATATATAAACATGTATTTAACCTATAATATTTGATCTTAGAACTTCTAATATATATTAGTCTAAATCTTTTTAAAATGACACTTTTGGCATTCATATAATTTTGTCACTGTATATCCCTGCCATCCAGCTGCCATAACTATTTTCGTTACAATTGATAGCAAACCCAAAAATTTAAGGACCAAACCAAAATAACTCAACCAATTTAGTTTCACCTGAAGCTTAATAATAAGTGACTATGTAGTCAAAAGAAAAAGTAACACGTGGTGGTTGTGGCTGTGGGTGGGCACTTAATTTTTCCTTTTTTTTTCTTGCTATCAAACAAAAATACTTTTGGAAAATATTTTATTTCATTAAATATTTGGCTAATTCATTATTTTTTTAAAAAGGAATCTTTATTTTTGTATTTTTGTTTCTCTCGACTGTGATGATAAAATTGGTCTTTACTGACAAAGAGTTAAAAGAAAAGAAAAAAATACTTGAGGAAATAATAATTTTGTCCTCACTGTACTTTGACAATTAAGAGAGAGAAATATAAAAATAGAGATTTTTTATAAAATTAATAAGTTGTCAATTTTCTAATGAGGGTGAAGATAGGACGTTAAGGAGCGAAGTATTTTTCAAATACTTATTAAGGAATTAACATTAAATAATGAAATACTTAGGCTTAGGCTTCTTAACGGTGGAGATCTCGATTGAAAATTTGACAACTTTTATTTCTTTCTTTTAAAACATAGATCTATGTATTAAAAAATAAAAAAAATAAAAGTTGTCAAATTAGCGTTTCTAATTGTCAAATAAGGTTGCTATATTTCCAGATAGAAATATAAAACAAAGACTGTTTTAAAAAGATAATAAGTTGTAAATTTTGTAATGGCAGTGAAAGATATTAACGAGTCAAATAAGTATTTTCGGAACAACAGATCTCGTCATCACCACTGTTAAAAAAAATTAGAAATTCAGAAATATTTATAAAAAATCTCTATTCTTATGCTTCTCTTTCTGAGATTCTTTTTGCTTTTAGTAGGGTACACACACGAGTCATGACTAATTTTTTAGTTTTGTTTTAATTTTAAAGCACGAAAATGGCGGAAACAAAGCGAAATTTCCAAAGAAAGAAAGTTCTGTGGTGAAGAACAGAACACAACACAACAGAGCAGTGATTCAAACTTCAAATGCTTACCTTATCGCGTAATCCCTCCGCCGCAGCAATCGCTTCAGCCCTAATCGCTTGTACAGGACTCAGAGTAATTCCTCGGCATTTCGCCCCATATTTCCTCGCCAAATACCTCGAACTTCCCCCAATCCCACACCCAACGTCCACCGCCCCCGCCGGCCTTCTTCCTCCCTCCGCCGCCACGCCGCCGAACCGCAGCGCCTCCTCGATCATCCGGATCTGCGCGGCGCGATGATCGGAGAGCGACACGGAAGAATCCGGATCGTAGAACCCGTGGTGCATATGCTCGCCCCAAATGTTCTCCCACAGCCCCGACGATTCGTCGTAGAACTCCGCGATTCCCTTCTGGAGGCGATCGGCGTCCACCTCGGCCGCCGCCCTAGTCGTCGTCATCGCCGCCGCGGAAAAAGAGAAGGAACGGCGGCGGAGATGGATTCGAGAGGAGGCGACGATTCTTGCGGCGTTGAAGCGATTGAAGTCGAGAGAGTGCGGTCCATACGAGGACGTAGGGGTTGCGGAGGCGAAACTCATTGTTTATCTTTAATTTATATAAAAGGGGAGCGACGGCCGATGGCCGATTTGTTGGAAAAACGCTACAAAAACAGATTCTGAGAGAGAAGAGAGAAAATAAAATTAAAAAAAAAAAAGCGTTAATTTTTTATTTCTTAGTAATTTATTAAGTGTTTGGTAAAGTTCTGAGTCTGTGGGGGCAGTATTCTATAACAGAACGGAAAGAAGGCCATTATTATATACATTTATGTTTTTAGTAAAAAATTTAAAAAAAAAAAAAAAAGAAGACTACAGGTACAAATTATTACCATAATACCCTCGAAGTTTTGATGAATTGCCATCTAAACTATTAAATTTTTGTAATTAAATCCGTACAAATTACTCTTTATTACAAATATGTTAAAATATTATTTTTGTTTGTGTACTTTTAATTTTTGTTCATTTTGATCTCTATATTTTTAATTTTAAAATGTTCTGCTTTGATTCATTTTAGTTCCTCTTAATTTTATTTAGATCTTTTTTGTTAATGCAGAAATTTGGTTTCCTGAGATCTCGCCAAATGTGCACTAATCCTCTAAATATAAAATGGGATCGACGGATCAATGTGACCTGCAAAACAGATTGAAACTAGGATCGGTGTGGCTTTACCACACGGGCTCCGATGCTTAAATTAGTATCAAAAGTCAAGTGGTCCAATCCCCATCCTCTCTAGATTTGCCCTAGCCGAATCTTAAATCTTCGGCCCATTACCTCGTTGTCGGTTTTCAGTCGGATTGAGAATCAAGGCGAGTTAATACGGGTGTAACTACGCAAAAGTCGGATGGACCGTTATAGTTCTCAACCAGGTGGCCGAGAACGGCTCGACACCGAGAAGGTCTCGGCGTCGAGGCCTGGTCGGTGTCGAGCACTGTTCGGCTGAGGGCCGACTCAGGTCACCGGGTGCTGGCCCCCTTTCCTGGCTTGTGCTTTCTTCTCGGGTTCCTTTTGGCCTCCCGTCTCTTGGTCTCTTCTCTTTTTATCTTCCCATAATAGTAGCCCACTCTCAAAATAGAAGGCAAAAGCATGTCAAAGATTCTATATTGAGAGTACTTGTTACTTAGTGTGGATGGTTATTTTTGTGGAATAGCCCTATTTTTAGTCGTTGTTGGTTGTTGTTCTATAGGTTGACTTTCCTAGTCCCATTCTCATTTGTTGTAGTTGTCTATAATCAAGTCATTTGGGCTCTACCATATGGTTAGTTTTAACCGTCAAGTTTTGTCCTTGGGATCTAACTTTTCAATAGGGCCAGTGGTACCTCTTTGTTTCTCACCTATTTGGCTTCTGTCTCTGGTTCTATACCCCAGGATTCGAGTTTCTAACCTATTTGGCTTTCGCTAATGGTTTTACACCCCGAGTCTAATCGACCTTGGGTTTCTTACCTTTTTGCTTTTGCTGGTTTTCTACCTTAAGTCAATCAACACCACTGAGTTTTTAACCTATTTTGGCTTTTACCAAACGATTTTCTACTCTTGGGTTTCATTGATTGGTTATTGCCTGCTTTTTGTCTTAACCTTACTGGGCTCGTTCGCGTGTCTTTCAGCACCTTTGGGATTTTCCCTTGGTTTTACTGACTGACTTCTCGCTTATCAGCCTGCTTCTGGGTCTGTCCCAATTCGAGCATTTTTCCTTGGTTTTACTGACTGATATGGCCCCCACTTGAGAGGATCTTATATTTAGAATAAAAATAAGTGCCAAGTAAAAGAGTCAATCAAATAAAAGCACCTATGACTTTCAACCCAAATATGCAATCATCATATGAGAAAAAGTAAAAGTAACTCACCCTATTTAAACATGCAAGTCATATCTAAGATAGAAAATAAACAATTTAATATGGTCCTGAAGCACGAGACCTATCAGCTTCCTTAGTTGTTTCTCGGCGAGGTGTAGTAACATTTTTGCGTTGCTCTCCCTTGACTTCACATATTCCTCCTAATATGGTTTTTTATCTCCCTGACAGATGACGTGTCGTTTCGATTTTTGTCTGGAGTTGCCTTGGACTCTTCTACATACTCTTTGAGGTAACCTCCTCGCTTGAGGTCCTCTATTTCTTTTTTGAGGTCGAAACAATCATGTGTCGTGTGGCCATGATCTCTATGGAACAAACAATACTTTCCTTTGCTCCTTTTACTAGAGGATGTTTTCATCCTGTCAGGCCATCTAAGTAGTCTCTGGTCTTTTATTTCCATCAAGACCTGTTCGAGCGGGACCCTTGTTGGAGTGTATTTTTCAAATTTCCACTGAGGATCCTGCTAGAGTGGTCGACCCTGTCCACTATCTGATCTTTCCCACCTCGATATGTGTCGCTTTTCTCCGTGCCTCTCTCCTTTTGCGTTCTAATCTGCACATTCTTCTTCAGGGTCATACCTCGAGTGAATTAATTCTTCAGCTCTCATATACCTCTGGGCTCGACTTAAAGCTTCCGAGAAAGTGCTTGGATTTCTCTTCCCAAAAGAAAATACCAAGTGTTCGCCTTTCACACCAGATACAAAGGCTAGCAGCGCCACTGCATCTGTCAAACACTCCACTTGTAGCTTTTCTTCATTGAACCGAGTCACATAGTCCTTGAGGCTTTATGTTGTCTTTTGCTTAATAGTCAGTAGGTATGCTACATGCATGCTTCTATTCCGTCCTCCGACGAATTAGATGATAAATGCTCTTGCCAATTTCCTGAAGCTTCAGTCGCTTTTCTTTTGAACTGTCGGAACCAGACACGTGCCAAGCCAGTCAAGGTGAGAAAGAACACTCTGCGTCTAATGGTTTTTGTTATGCCATAAATATCTGCCCATTCCCTATATGCGTCGAGGTGATCGATGGGATCTGTCGAGCTGTCGTATTGTGCGATGGCAGGCAACTTAAACTTCAGACGAATTTTTCCTTTCATTATTTTCTTCGTAAAGGGCAACCCTGCTTGTTCTACCAGTTCCTCGAGATCAAACTTCTTCAGTTTGCTCTGTGCCTGGTTGGTTGTCTCCTCAACTCCTTCAATCATCGGGGCTTTATTTTTCCGTAGATCGCAAACAAGCGCTGGTTGTTCCACTTCATGTTGCTCGAGTTTTTATAGAAGCAAGGATATGTTTCGATGCATTCCCTCAACCTTCTCTTCTATGGCGGCCAATTTGTCATCTTGCTGAACCAGAATTCCGATCGGTTTATCTCTCCGTCCGAGAATTGGTCGGCCGGTATCCCTAAAAACTGGTCGGGCGACATTTCCCTGTCTGAGAACTGGTTGGTTAGTTTCTCCTTCGATTGTCTCGGGTGGAGGTGCACCCCTATTAACTTTCCTCCTAGGGTGGCATTCTTCATCAGAATATTGGGAACTTCTTCCCGAACTCATGTCGATACGTCTCAAATATCTAGTCGTTCCCACAGACGGCGTCAATTGTTGATGCAGAGATTTGGCTTCCCGAGATCTCGCCAAATGTGCACCAATCCTCTAAATACGAAAAAGGATCGACGGATCAACGTGACCTGCAAAACAGATTGAAACTAGGACCGGCGTGGCTTTACCACACGGGCTCCGATGTTTAAGTTAGTATCAAAAGTCGAGTACAGAGAATAGGATGTTCTGGCGTACCTTTTGGGGTTTGGTTCATCTCTTACTTATAGTCGTCCAATCCTCATCCTCTCCAGATTTGCCCTAGCCAAATCTTAAATCTCTTGGCCTGTTACCTTGTTGTTGGTTTTCGGTCGGATTGAGAATAAAGGCGAGTTAATACGGGTGTAACTGCGCAACGGTCGGATTGATTGTTACCGGCCGAGAATAGCTCGGCGCCAAGGCCTGGTCGGCGCCGGCCACTAGTTGGCCGGGGGCCGGCTCAAGTCGTCGGGTGCCGGCCCCCTTTCCTGGCTCGTGCTTTCTTCTCGGGTTCCTTTTGGCCTCCGGTCGCTTGGTCTCTTTTCTTTTTATCTTCCCATAACATCTTTATTTTCTATCATAATTTCAACACTATGCATATTTCTTAAAATATTGTCATTACTTTATATTAAAGATTTTGCAATGAGAGGCTAAAATGATCGCTTTTTAGTGATTAAAATGAACATTTTGAAAGTATAGAGATTAAAATAAACTAAAAAATTAAAAGTATAATTATCAAAATAAATATTTCAAGAGTGCAAGAACTAAAATGAACCAATTTTGAAAATTACAGGACAAAAATAGTATTTTAACCTTCCAAATATTATCACAATCAAACCTAACTTTTTAGGTCAATTTTCTATTTTCTTGATTTAGATATCGACTTCGTATTCAACAAAATTTTGATATTATAGTTGAATTGGGGTGGTTTTTGTATTATGATTATTCTTTTTTTTCTGTATTTTTTGATTTGTTTTTGGAAATATACAAAAGAAAAGAAACAAAAAAAATTGCAGGAAAATAACAATTAATTAACGCCAGGTGTTTGACTGACGCATATTCCTTCAGCTGATCTCTTGCATGGCTAGAAAACGAGGAGGGCTAAAACTGGAAATTTAAAGTCTATTGGGCCACTTGATTTTCTTCTTTCCTTCGAAGTGAAAAAAAAAATGAGAGAAAATAATAATAAAAAGAAATGTAGTTCTTCACTTCTAGCCGCACGTGTCAAATTTTTACTTTTGCAACTTTGGTTTCATTTAGTACATTGCAATTGTAAAGAGTCGTCCACCAAAGTGAATTACAAATTTAGTTTGTAAATTTGAGGTTTATGTTCTATAAGTCTGAATTTTAAAAGGGTTATAATACTAGTTTCGTCCCTTACTTTTAGCTTTAACTCTTGATACGTCGATATGACTATCTACTATTGTAATTGATATTACGGGACTCATCTGGGAAAACTTCGACTACGCACCCCACGAGGCTCGAACTGAGGAGAAGAGTGTCCTAATTTGACTACAAGCCCACTACGCACCGTCCGTCGGAGGTAAAAAAAAAGTCTATTAAGTCTTCTAAAGTTTCGATTTCATGCCTAATAAGTCTCTAAAATTTTAATTTTGTGTTTAATAGTCTCTGGCATATTCAATTGTTAGGTTTGTAAGTGGGTGCAAACAAAGTCTCACACTGACTAGGGAAGGAAGTGATCCATGGTATATAAAATAGGACAATTATCTTCATTGGTATGAAACCTTTTGGGTGAAACTAAAAGCAAAGTTGTGAGGGTTATTTCTAAAGCGGACA